GAACCCCATATTTACATGATTGCAACAACTTGCAATATGGGATCTAAAATTCTTGCTGAAGTAAACACATTATGGTCGACACAAGTTAAATGAAAAACCTAGATAATTTTCTGTACTACTCATTCACTAATACATCTCAGTCTTATCATGACACCCACTAGGCTTCCTCATGCCCAATTGTTTACACAAGTTGGAAACAAAAAATAAGCAGACTGGATCAACATTTTGACAATAGAGAGGCACAATCGAACCTTTATCACCTATGATCATGCGGATAATCCACCCCAAGTAATGACGGGCCGGCCACCAAGCACTTAGGGGACACCTCATGTTCAAGTGATGCTCCACATTACATTCATTTGACAATAATAGAGAATATTCAACATTGAGTAAAACAAGTTTCTATCACTCCCCTTTCGTTTTGCAACTTATTGCCTGCAAGAATGGCAAGTGAATTCCAAGACGATGTCATTTATTTGCATTGTTGCATGCTGCTTTAGGGCCTGGGCTTTCTCTAAGTCTGCCCGTGCTTGATGCCTTATTCGCTTAGCATTAGCAAATTCCTTCTCCGCCATTTCAATCTGTCTCTTCGCCAGTTGCCTCGCCTCTTGAGCATAAGCATTTTCAGTCATGGCCATTCTTAACTGTTCATCTTCTCTACTATCCATTTCATTTTGCTCGTTGATTACTGATGAGCCAATGGAGAGTTGCAACTGTGTTGAATGGTCTTGACCTGCCACTTTTGTCGAATTTGAAACACTTGATTTTGCTGATAGCTGGAGGTCTAGACCTAAGCCCGGCCAAGAATTCTTATAGCCCACATTGCTTAAAAAATTGATGTCAGTGGATGGCCTCTGGGACAAGCAGACCGTAGGCTGCAAAGTGCGGGATTCTGGTAAAAGTCGCCCAATACTGCAAGCATCTTGGTGTTCAATGAAACTCTCCACCCTAAAAGAAAAAAATTGAAGGGCATTAATTCATAAGTAACTCCAGTGATTTAGTTGATGAAGATGGGTACTATAAACAAGAAGAAAAAGAAATGTCATTATTAGTACGTTGACTATAAAATAAGAACCAAACTAATATTCTTGTAAGAATAATATAAACTAACCATCCCTAATAATTCCTCCTATGCATTTTGCAGTTGGTCCAAGCTTTGAAGGAGGAGAGAGTTACCTATGCAGGTCGGCTTCATGCATAAAAACTTCATTAGCTTATTATATGAATGGGAAGTTGAATTGGGGACGATATTGAAATTTCCCGATTATCCTTAGAAGTGAGGTTGAATAGACGTCAGGCGATTTAGTTTCGCCTCTGAAAACTCATTCAACTGAACTAGCCTCAACAAGGAAAGAGAGGGTCGTTACATGTTATCCTAGTACACATTTATTCTATGTAAACTATACATATATAATCGAACAATCTACTTAATAATTAAGGAAAAGAAAAAAGATCACTCAATGCACTACATAGTGCGTGGAAATGGTATTCTTAAAGAATTTA